GTGATGTATGTAAATTTAGTGTACAAGTGAATTAAGGTGGCATCTTTTGCAGTCTTTAATCTTTAATCTGGGATGGTGATTGTTGATGTCATCTGCTATTTGCCATTATTGTCCATGGGTAGCACATGAATGAATGCGTGTGTAAGGAAGAGTGATCATCGTTTTGCCCGAGAATTAAATGAATTATTATTTTATTATCTGAACTAATAGTAAAATTACTAGAGATTTAATAAATTATAATAAAAGAATTTTAAAATAAATTTTCTAACTATAACAATAGAAATTAACAAGATTAGTTTTTTTTTTTTCTCCCCAAAACTTGCTATAAGAACCCATGATCTTTTAAGTAATACAGGTTTTTCGATAAGAATTTATTCTTAAAATCTGAATCAAGAAAGACGAAAAAATCCTACCAATAGAAATAACTTTTTACTTTATTTATTATTATTATTTTTCAAAAAGAGCGCACTCTAGTGATTGATTACCTCCTGAGCAATTCCTTTGGCACTGGGGTGTCGTTGAAAGGCTCACACTTTAACCTTAATACGAAACAAGGATGTGACTTTGATCTGTTGGCTGAACCGGGAATACATGGGCCGTCGTCCCGGGAAGAGAAGAACACAAGTCAAATACTAAACACAGAGAAGAATGGCAACAGTGTCGGCATGGGTAGGCGGGGGTTTAACGGTCGACGATCGCCGGATTCTCGTCGCACTTAACAGCGCAGCCTCTAGCCTTTCCTTCGTTGGATCCGCCTTCATAGTCCTCTGTTATTGCCTCTTCAAGGAGCTTCGCAAGTTTTCCTTCAAGCTCGTCTTCTACCTTGCCCTCTCCGTATCTCTCTCTCTCTCTCTCTCTCTCTCTCTCTTCTGTTCTCAGATTTTGATTTCCACTTGTATTCCATTTTATACTTGGATCTGTTACTGCTTTCTTTGCTTCCCCTCATCAAATAGGCATTTAAAATATGTTCTTGTCTTCTAAGTCTCACTTAGTCATTCTCTATGCGTTTTGGACACAGGACATGCTTTGCAGTTTCTTCAGCATAGTCGGGTATGCTTCCGACCTTTCATTCTTATTCTTCCTTTATCTCATCGCTTCAAATGTGGGTTTTGCTTCCTCTTTTTTTCTTTTTTTTTTTCTAATTTAATTTCCCCCTGAAATTGTTGTATGGGTGATGCAGAGATCCGTCGAAAGGATTCTTTTGTTATGCACAGGCGTATAGCACCCATTTTTTCTGCGTGGCTTCCTTCTTGTGGACAACAACTATTGCTTTTACCCTTCATCGCACTGTCGTCCGACACAAGACAGATGTTGAAGACTTGGAAGCCATGTTTCACCTCTATGTTTGGGGTATGCCCATATTTCTCACATCAAATTTTCTTGTATTTAATTTGTTCTGCAAATTCGGCATCTACTGTACTGGAACTCCCTATGCGATACTACCTTTCTTAGGAAGAAGGCTTGCTTTTCTGTTGTGGTTTAAAGCAAACATTTCATGTTCCAAATGCTCTTGATTTACTTTTATGCCGTTACCTTGTTCATATCTCAAGCTTATTACTTTCTATAGGAACTTCACTTGTTATGACTGTCATACGATCTTTTGGTCATAACCACTCACACTTGGGCGCCTGGTGCTGGATACAAACTGGCCGCACAGGAAAGGCAAGTGCCTACACTTAGATTCTTTCAGAACTTGAAATGTCTCAAATTTTGTTAAAGTCAGGAGTCTGGTTCTTTGGCATAAGTTTTTTGATGGTGATATTAGTTTATGGTTATCCAAACTATTATGCTCCTTGTTTACTCTGGTTTTACAATATGATTTATTCTTAATTTTACATTCTAAGTGACATGAATGCTAGCAGCTTATTTGATGTTTATGAGTGTTAGATGCCTTCAAAATCTTCTGCATCATTTAAGTTTGTAATCAAAATCCTCTTCTGATGCTCATTTGTAAAATGTTGTGTACTTCTGCAGGCAGTTCACTTTATAACATTCTATGCACCTCTTTGGGGTGCAATTCTCTACAATGGCTATACATACTTCCAAGTAATACGCATGCTAAACAACGTAACACGTGTATGTGCTCATTTACATCATTTTATCATTACAAGGTGATATTGCCATCATATATATAATAATTAGCATGACATGTTTGGAAATATCAGATGGCTGTGGGCATGTCAGATCGGTCATATCAGTTCGATTCAAGAGCAGACATGAAGGTATGCTTTGTTACCAGCATCTTGTTTTGGTAAGAATAGGAAACATGTAACTGATAAACGTAGGCATGCTTTTTCTGTTGTTTTTATTGCTAGAATGCAGTCACGGGTAAAAAATCACTTTTTTAACATTTTAACTACATATCTTTTAGAAAGGACATTTTAACTATGAGGAAACTTGTTTATAGATAAATGAAATAAGTTCTTTTTAACTCTTTGCCAATAATTTTTGTTGTTTTAGGCTTTGAACCGGTGGGGATACTATCCGCTTATTCTAATAGGATCATGGGCATTTGGCACAATCAACCTTATTCATGATTTCATTGAGCCAGGACACAGAATCTTTTGGCTCTCGTTTCTCGATGTTGGAACTGCTGCGCTTATGGTAATTCCGATTACAATAAATGTGCTTTCAAATCTTTATTTTCCTAGAAAAGATATTGCAACCCAATATTTTACTTCGACATGCCTGTTCTTATGTCTCTCTCTGTATGGTTGTCTGCATTTATCTATTTGTGCCTTCTTTCCATGTTTTGTGTCATTTCAATATTTTTTTTCTTCAGCTTAGATACATAAATTAATTGCTTGGTGATGTCAAATGGAAACATTAAGGCCTAATGTGTCAAAAGTCACTTGCTACAACTTCACACCAACATTTTGCTTCACCGGAAACTAATTGGTTGCTGTTTTGTCTATATTCAGGGCCTATTCAACTCAATAGCATATGGACTGAACTCTTCAGTGCGGCGAGCAATTTATGAAAGATTAGAATTGTAAGTTGCAGATCCTGTTTCTTTATGACAATTTTCTTATTTAGATCTCAGGAAACGATAAATTATCTTCAAGGATCTGCCATTAGTGTGTTCCTTTATTTGATTAAGAAAGAAGTATTGTTAGCAAGGCAACCTTCTAATCGGTTGACAGCCATATGAAACTGGCATCAGTTTGTTGCTTCAGTTCGGACTGCTTGAAAAATTAGAATGGTTGTTCTGTTTCTCTTGTACTTGTCTGGAACCTCTCTTTGGTTGGTTGAAATCTCCTGTTTTATATTTTGCATTAAAGATTTTTGGTTCTAGATTTATTTCTTCTTCCAAACTGAAAAAGCCGAAAGAAAAAAAATGTGCTTGAACATTTGAATCTTGAAAGTGGTAGAGAGCCATGAAACACAGAATTGATTGACTCTAGGCTGTCCAGTTCTACCAATCTTTGCTGAAGGCTTTTAACAAAGTTATTGTTGGATGGTTTACTAGGTTCTGGCCAGATAGATTTAAAAGATGGCTTCCAAGCAGCGCAAGGTCCAGAAACCAGCAGCCACAAAGTGAGATGGTGTCGTTAAAAATTCAGGATGAGCAATAGGAGGAAATTGGTCATCATCTACTTCAACTCCCAGCATTTATTTATTCATTGCCCGAGAGAGAAAGATGGAAAATGAAGAGGTGTGGCATGCAGGGGAAAAGCGAGTTTCATCAGTTTTTCATTTCTTTGGAGCAAAGCCATTGTGATCCACCATCTAACAGGCCTTCTCTTTAAGAATTGGTTCTCATTGCATGGGGTGGAATTAGTCTGTACAATTTTTACTTGTATTTATTGTGTTTTTTTCTTTGGCTTCAGAAAGCTGCCTTGTTTCTTTTCCTCAATCTTTGTTGATGTATATGGTTGATTACTTTTTATTTATACACCTTAAGAGTAGTTGCTGGTATGTTTTCAGAAGAAAAATGGGAGGATTAAGTTAATTATGATTAGAAGATATCATTAAACTCAACAAAATTATAATTGCCGAAAACAAGTTAGTGGACTTTCATTAAAGTTACCAACTTTACGTAAATAATCAGTTTGATAAAATGTTTGTATTTATTAGTTGTAAATTTGAAGTAATGAATGTATAAGAACGTTATAGTTTCAAATAGAAATATCAAGGTAAAAGCACGGTTTTCGGAATGCAACCATTGAAGGGTCTCTCTTAATTCTCTTCTTTTTCTTCTTCTTCTTCTTGCTATTTTGTTCTGGGTTCTATCTTATGTCTACTATTCAATGGCTAAAAAATTGATATTAAATTTAAATTATAAATATGAAACATCTTAAATGCGTAAGCAACAACTGAGAGAGCCCGTTTTTCAGCACTGAGAAACATATTGAACTTGGGCCGACTCAGGTAAGACTACAAATGTTTGAAACATCGTACAAACCCAAAAATAAGAATCCTGCAACCGTGAAGACCCAAACAACCAGCGATCCTTCGGCTTTTCTTTTCCTCTTCTGGGTTAATCTATCAGACTCGGATGGCGCAATGAGTTAGTTGATTGTGAGTTAGTCGTGGAATCACATTGTCATCAGAGTTTTGGAAGAGAAAGATGAAGCAGCTTCGGTGGGCAATGGATGGAGATTTTTGGGAGCTAGACATCTCCACTCCCACCACCCTCGAGGGCACTGCGCGGCCGGTCCCCGGCGATTCACTCCCTCTCGGCCTCTCAAGAGGCGCCAGGCTCTCCAGGCCCAACCAGATCGACTTCTTCCACCGCTTCATGGCTACACCTCTCCTTCCCTCTTATTCCTCCCTCCGCGGCTTCTCTCTGCAGCGAGTCTTCACTATCCCTTTCTCCAACACCTGGTCCCTCTTCCATTTCTTTTTCTTTTCCTTACCAATTTCATTTCAGGGGTGCCCAATTCTAATATTAGCTTATGCAGGTATGCTACCCTGCTGGGTCAGTTCAATTGCCGAAAGTTCTTGTCTTCTCTGAAGGAGAGTGGGTTTGCGACCCAGTCGGCCTCCTCCCGGCTGCACAACATTGCCAGATATTTTCGTGAAAAATCTTTGTACGCGCTTGGTTTGTGCTCTGAGTTCTTACTAACGCCGGACGATACTCTCATTCTTAGCTTCGATTCTTGCGGTGATGACAATACTATTCCTCGCAAGAAAGCAGTCCTGCATCACAAGGCAATTGTTTGGTGATACGTTTGAATTATGACGACCTTATGTTCTCCTTTGCATTTTAGACAGTAAGATACGAGTAATCTTCTCTCTCTGTTTTTGTAGTTCCCGGGTCACAATCTAACAGCGGAGGCAGCTTGGCCTGGACTTTTTGTGGACAAACATGGTGATTATTGGGATGTGCCCTTTTCTGTGGCACTTGATTTGGCTTCTGTTGCGTCTGATTCTGGACCTAGTTATCATTTCTGCGTGCGCCATAATGATGGGCTGCCTACATTGCTTCAAGGTGATCAAACCTCACAAGTACCAGTTCCTCTACTTCCCGGTTTGTCTATCAAGACTGCATTTTCTTATAAGAATAGCGTTGATATTTGGAAGAGTAGCGCTAAGATGCTCAAAATGAAGCAACCTTATGACTTTTTCCTCTCAAATCCCCATGTTTCGGCATCAGGGATCATCGGTAAGCTACAACCTATTGTTATAAGCTTTAGCTCCAGCTTAGAAGTTGGGTAACGGTGGATTCTTCTTCTTTCTGATCTACAAGTGCAACATCATCTTGGCGGTGATATCTAATTTTATTGTGTCTTGTCTTGTTGAGCCTTGTTCATTTGAGGCGCTGCAGCTCTTTCTGATGTGAAATCCTGTACCTATATTTCATATCTGCAGGCACCGTGATGACGGCTCTTATTGGTGACAATTCTGTGAAATCACGAGTTCAACAAGATTATCAGGGTTTTGGAGGCTTATCTCTTCATGCTGCTTCCATAAAATCTGCCTTTTTAGCAGATATATTTGCATCCGTCTCACTTACAGCACAATATGGAAACTTTCAGAAAATGTTTTTGGATCTTACTCGGTGTCATGCTCGGTTGAATTTTCCTTCTGGTTCCAGATTTCTTTCAGGTGCCACAAGTTTAGCACAAGATTTTTTCAATTCTCAGCAGCCAACCCTGGATACAGTTCAGGCAATTTGCCCTAAGATTTCCATTTCTCTGCAGCAGCAGGTACTAGCTTTTCTTGCATTCTCTTTGATTTTTATATTGCTTTTAAATATTTTCAATCCTTTGCCAATAAGGTATAAAAATATATGCCTATGAATTGTTAAATGAAATACAGTGATCTGTCACAAGTAATCACTGGCTAACCTTTAGGTTGCCCTTCATTGGGGTAATTTTTATGTCCGTTTTCTCAAATTCAACAATAATTTGTCATGTTAGCTTTTCAGACCTAACTATGGAGAAGCAATTTGAACCAACCTAAACTTTTTCCCACACTTCTACAGGTGGTTGGACCTTTTAGTTTTAGAGTGGATGCAGGATTTGCAGTTGATTTGAGAAAGAAAGAATTTCCAGTATGCATAGAGGATCCAGTTTTTGCTGTTGAGCATGCGTTGCAGGTCCTGGGTTCTGCCAAGGCCGTCGCATGGTATTCACCAAAGCACAAAGAATTCATGATAGAGCTTCGATTTTATGAGACCTAGTACCCTGGGGGAATATGTTCAAAAAAGAAACCCTACATTTTGGCTTCTGATATGTAGGGCCAATTGGGGGAAGATACTGTAATATTTCAGCTTGACTCCATTTCACAAACTTCTTGTAGACGTTATGTTGTCCGAGAAAACAAGGGTGTCCTTTTAGCCCCAGAGATTATTATGTTCTTGTTTCAGGAGGACAGGGGTAGAGACTTTTATTTGAAGAAAAAAGGGAGAGGTTGTTGTTTTGAGAAGAGAGGGGATTCAATCCAGTGAATGAGACTAAAAACCTCATTTTGAAACTCTCTAGTCCTCATTTTTTCCTACTCAAGCTTACTGAAATTTGACTGATATCTGTCTGGTAAAAGAAACAATTGAGGTAGATGGAAGAAATTATCTAATTGATATGATGTGTGGAAAATTGATGAAAACGATTAGAATTTGGTACAGGCCAGTTTGGATTTGATTCTAAGCATGAATAAGAAAATGCAAAAATCTGCCAATTTAGGAGCGACAACCATCTCAATTTTTGAAATGCCTTCATTTCAAACTAAATGTTCAATAAAATGGAAGTTTACATTTGGTTATACTATGATGCCTACCAAAACTAGTCCCTGGACAGTTTGCAGGAAGCTTCAAGTGCTCTTCCTTGTAGTTAACAGAGACAAGACAGAGGCCATGGGGTGGGGCAGACAAGGAATGTTTGGCAAGCTCCCTGCGGTCTCGAGCTTCCAAAATCATAGGAACAATATCAGGAGGAATCGCTTCTTTTCCAATTTGAACGAGCAAGGCAACCTGCAGAAGCCGAAAAAGATTTGGTTTATACAATTGGACAAATCTCAATTTAATTCTGCGGCAGTGTCTCAAATTAACTTTCTATGGAATTGACAGAATTATTAGAGCAAACATGGTGGATATTCATCCAGTCAAATACAGCCAGATTTGAGTTCCATAGTTGCCTAACATTAGCAAACGCTCTTAGCCTGGTAGACATACCATGTTCCGGACTTGTCTGTACAAGAAACCTGAACCTTCAACTTGGAGGTGTAGAAGAGTTCCCTGACCAGTGAGAAAAAAATTGAGGGATAAATAGTAGAGCATGTTTCTTATTTGAAAGCTGAAATGACATGCAGACCGCCCAAGCTGTGATGAGTGAAAATTACCATCTCAATGATGTCAAACCGAAATATAGTTTTGAATGGATCTGGCAGGCGATCATTGCGGGATGCATTGGCAAAGGCAGAGAAATCATGCCTTCCAATAAAATGCTTTGCAGCTTCTCGCATGAGAGAGGTATTTAGTTTATAAAGACTGTGGTAAGCGTAGAGACGGTGGAACGGGTCCATAATAGTATCATTATATATCCTATAGAGATAAATCTTGCTTTTGACTGAAAATCGAGCATGGAAATCTGGGAGTGCAGCACTTATCTCTCTAACTCGGATATCAGGGGGAAGAAGACCATTCAAGGCAGCATGAACTGTTTCTAAGGTGTCATAATTGAAAGGAGTAAGAAAGTGCGCCACCTGAAAAGGTTTAATAGTTGTCATCAATTTCATGAATGGATGATAGCGGTTGAGGTGAGAAAGGGAGCAAGTGAGACCTGACCCCAAGCATGAACACCTGTATCCGTCCTGCTCGCACCAACCAAATGAAGGTCCTTTCTTTCAAGTTTTGTTACTCGAATTAAGGCCTTCTCCACAATGCACTGTATGGTCGGAGGTGACTGCTGAAACTGCCAGCCTTTCATGACAATCAAACTTTCGAATCAATTGAAAGTACACATAAACAACATGTTGAGGTCTAGCTCAATATTAGCAATGGCTACCCGACAACAGATTTTAATTAAAGAAGAAATGTACGCACTTGTTAGGGTTTATGATTTTCCTTGTGCTATCTCAGCTGCATTCTCGAGAGTTAAGAAGAAGAAGAAGAAGAAGAAGAAGAAGAAGAAGAAGAAGAACCTGCATATTGGGTGCCATCGTATGCTATGACAAAACGCCATTTATAGACAGGCACCGGAACCGCAAAGGCGGATTTCTCTAGGAGCTTCGGTCCCTCTGAGGCGTCCCCAGCCGCTTTCTGCGTCAAATTTTGAACCCTCCATGCCTATCCAATCTATCAGTTTTAAACACACAAACTGAAACAGATATACAGAGAGAGAGAGAGAGGGAGGGAGGAAGATAAATCAGTTCCTACCGAGGTATTATTTGGAAAGGCAGCAACACAACACAGGGCTGCAACTGCACAATTCATCTCAAAAATCCCTATTTTCACTTCATTCCTTCATTTTCATACAGGAGTCCAAACTTGTTAAATGGATGAATGTATTTTCTCTTTCGATAAAAATAAGTTTCCTTTCCTTTCCTTTCTCGAAAAGGAAAATAATATTTAATTTAGATAAATTTGTCTTGATAGTCACCCGGTTTAATAACCTGAACCGAGTGGATTAATATTAATTCCCATCAGTCCGGTTCATGGACGATAAGAAATCAAGGATGGACAGTGCGGAAACACGTTAACCAAGGTAGACACGCACGTAGCGCAGCGGAAGGGCAGACCGGGATACTGTTTGAGTTCCGTGCGTAATCACTTCTGGTGCCCTGCCTCTCAGGCTCCGCTTCCTCTCGCGGCTATTCCTGCGCTCTTAGACTACCACAAAAACCAATCGACACCCTACCGCGTAACTTATAACCTGCCGCTTCTCTTCTCTTTCGGCCTGCCCCAATCACAGGTATCGTAGCCTTTCTCCTGGATTTCGATTTATCTCCTCTATTTACCCCGTGCTTTGTTAGGGTTTTCTATCGCTCTCCTCTGTTTTCCTCTTGTAATCAACAAAACAAAACCACTGGTTTCTCATTGCATGGCGCAAAACTTCTCTTATTTTCTTCTTGTTGTTCTTTCCATTATGTTATAATTACATTGCTTTTGTTGATTCTGGGGATTACGCGACCTTTTTCTTCCAACTAGTCACATCTAACATACTCACTTTGCATCACCTATTGCCACAAAAAAAAAAACCTTCCTTTTATGCCTCCCATTACTATTTCTTCATGTGCTTCTCTAATTGGACCAGTTTAACGCCTACACGTCTTCCCCTGTGATTATTATCCTAACTGCATTTCTAATTTTGTTAACTTCATTATTTCCCCCCTTCTGCTATCGTAACTTCAAGTGACCAATATTTGTTTCCTCGGGCAATGGCTGCCAAGAAAATTATAGCTATATGTCAGTCTGGAGGCGACTTTGTCACCAATAGAGATGGCTCCTTGTCCTACACCGGTGGCGACGCCTACGCCATTGATATTGATCAGCACACGCAGTTGGATGCTTTCAAGGCAGAGTTAGCGGAAATGTTCGCTTGCAGCATAGATACCATCTCTATCAAGTACTTCCTCCCTGGCAACAAAAAGACTCTTATCACAATCTCCAAAGACAAGGATTTCAACCGCATGGTTAATTTTTCCGGAGATGCAGGGACTGTCGAAATCTTTGTTATGTCGGAGGAAGCTGCTGCCCGGAATGTGTCAAACATGCCTGCTAGTAGGTAGTTATTCTCCAGTCTTGCTTTCTCTCTCTTTTCCCAGGAACTTGATCTGCTGTTCGCTTTCGTCCATATTTGCAGCAAGTCACATGCCCTTAGACAGGTCAGATGGGCATGCTTACCATGCGGGAATTGAAATTTGATCCGTTATGATTGTTCATTAAAACAGATGGCTGAAGCTTTTACTAGTAATGTTCTCAATAGTTGTTCTTTGATTATGCAGGTCAAGCAGGACAACTGTTTCGGAGGCTGCGGTTTTAGCAGTTGCCCCTGTTGATGCTGTAATTGATATGCCCAATGTAATTGATCGGGTGGATATGGACATACACAATGAAACCCCTCTGGCTTGCATGTCACCCGATATGATTGAAGATAGACATCATAAAGCCGCACAACAGTGGGAAAATACAATCACTGGGGTAGACCAAAGGTTTAATAGCTTCAGCGAATTTCGGGAAGCACTGCATAAATATTCAATTGCACATGGGTTCGCTTACAGATACAAGAAAAACGATAGTCATCGTGTTACCGTCAAATGCAAATCTCAAGGTTGTCCGTGGCGGATTTATGCATCGAGATTGTCCACCACCCAGTTAATTTGTATCAAGAGAATGAGCACAAGACATACATGTGAAGGAGTCACTGTTAAAGCCGGTTATAGAGCAACGAGAGGTTGGGTGGGAAGTATCATAAAAGAGAAATTGAAAGTTTCCCCAAATTACAAGCCAAAGGACATTGCTGATGACATTAAAAGAGAATATGGAATTCAGCTGAATTATTCTCAAGCGTGGCGTGCAAAGGAGATTGCAAGGGAGCAATTACAAGGCTCCTACAAGGAGGCATATAGTCAGTTACCTTTCTTTTGTGAGAAGATAAAGGAAACAAATCCAGGCAGTATCACTACTTTTACAACAAAGGAAGACTCTAGTTTCCACCGTCTCTTTGTGTCCTTTCACGCCTCAATATCTGGATTTCAACAAGGTTGTCGTCCTCTCCTTTTTCTGGATAGCACTGCCTTAAACTCTAAATACCAAGGGGTCTTATTAGTTGCTACAGCTCCAGATGCTGAAGATGGTATATTCCCAGTGGCCTTTGCTGTTGTAGATGCAGAGACTGAGGACAACTGGCATTGGTTTCTAGTGGAACTCAAATCTGCAGTTTCAGAATCTCGCCGAATTACATTTGTTGCAGATTTTCAAAATGGCTTGAAGAGGTCATTGGCTGAAGTATTTGAGAGGTGCTACCACAGCTATTGTTTACGACATCTTGCTGAGAAACTCAATCGGGACCTGAAGGGGCAATTTTCCCATGAAGCAAGACGATTCATGATTAATGACTTCTATGCTGCTGCATATGCCCCGAAACTTGAGGGTTTCCAGAATTCTGTGGAGAACATAAAAGGTATTTCCCCTGAAGCATACAATTGGGTTGTACAAAGTGAGCCAGAGCACTGGGCAAATGCATTATTCGAAGGAGAAAGGTATAACCACATGACATCAAACTTTGGTCAAGTGTTCTACAGTTGGGTGTCAGAGGCACATGAGCTGCCAATAACACAAATGATAGATTCGTTGCGAGGGAAAATGATGGAAGCGATCTATATGCGCCGGGTAGAATCCAACCAGTGGGAAACAACATTAACACCATCGAATGAGGAGAAACTGCAGAAGGAAACTGCCCTGGCTCGGTCACTTCAGGTTTTACTCTCCCATGGAAGCACATTTGAGGTTCGTGGGGATTCTGTTGACATTGTTGATGTTGATCATTGCGAGTGTAGCTGCAGGAGTTGGAGACTAAGTGGTTTACCTTGCTGCCATGCTATTGCTGTCTTTGAATGTATTGGTAAAAATCCATACGAATATTGCTCCAGATACTTAACGACAGAGAGTTATCGCCTATCCTATGCAGAGTCTATTTATCCAGTTCCAAATGTGGACAGAAGTCTCCTGGATGAATCAAGTCAGATGGTGGTTACTGTAACCCCTCCTCCAACAAAACGTCCTCCAGGCAGACCCAAAATGAAACAGGCCGAGTCAATGGACATAATTAAACGCCAGCTTCAGTGTAGCAAATGCAAGGGTCTTGGCCACAATAAGAAAACTTGCAAAGGTTCTTAGCACAGAGTTTAGGATTGTGTAAGTAGGTATTTTATGCTCTTTTCTTTTTTTTTTTTTTTTTTCTCAAAACAAAAGAATAGGTAGTTGTCAAGAATTTTGTTAGGTAGATTAGGGTTGATGTGGGTATATGTTAATATTTTTGGCTTGTGCAGAGGAACTATAATGCACGAATGTGTTTGATTGTGGTCATTTAATGATCCTTAGTAGTTTACCTACATGATGCAAATATTTCTACGACGATGTATTGAATTTTTTACGTTTAAAATTGAGGAAATCAAGTTGGTCTGCTTCTGGCCTAACTGTTTAAAATTGGTAGTGTAGGTGTTGGGAATTTGGGAGAAATTGGTTTGACATGTTGATAGGTTAGTGAGAGAAGATAGGATTGAGCTTGCTTTTCGAGATTTGCAGGTCATTTAAGTATGTAAGGAAGTTATGATGAAGGATTGAGCAGGTGTGTAGAGGTGAGTTCACATTGCTCATAGGTCACTGAGAGGAGGGGGTCACCACGAAAATTCCTTTGACCAATCGTCTATTGTTAATCGTACCCCCTGCTGAGGCCAGCACAAAGAGACGGAGTAGCTTTACACGCTTGTAATTGTATATAACGCATGCACTAGCAGTAGCAGTAGTTGTTTCAGATAAAATGAATTATGCTCTTGAATTATGAAGAGCATGCGGAAATAGAGGCATCTGCCATTCCTCAATGAATTCCAAGTAACAGGAACTCTCTGCCAGGCGAAAAAAGCGACTTCCTTGGCTTGGAGCTCTAAATATATATATATATATATATAATTATAGAACTTTCCATTACAAACACTGGTTCTTTTGTTCATGGATGATTAAAAATGTTGAACATAATGAAATAAATTTTTAAAAAATGAAGTTTTTGGATAAGCAGTGGAAGTAGTGCAAAACCAAAACAATTGGGTTGGTGGGTTGGGCCTTGAGCGGGTGAAGCGGCGAAGAGATAAAAAGAGTCCGACACCATGTTGCTGCTGCTGTCGACACATTGACATTCTCGAACATACACGTGTGCTTCTTCCAAGCCTCCCGCGCCCCGACTTTGTTTCTCTGGTGGCCACCTGTCATTTTCCATCTCCTTTAAACCCCCCGCACTCTTCCCTCCCAACCGTTTTGTTATCAGAAAACGTCAACCCTAGTTGATGTTTGGTTAATGATGGTGAGAATCATGGCTGGTTTGTATAGGAAGTCAGTGATGTTGGCGGTGGTGATGTTGGTGGTATTTGTGGTTGTTAGTAGTGTTGAGAGCACAAAAGATGGGTCCCAAGAGTTGAGGAAGAAGGCAGAAGAAGGGAAGGAGGAGGCAGAGTCATGGAGGGAGTGGGCTAAAGAGAAGATATCAGAAGGCCTCGGTTTGAAGCCAGACGAGCCCTCCGTTACTTCAGATGCTGCTGCTCGAGCCGCTAAGAGCACCAAAGACAAAGTCCAGGATTTTACTTCTGGTAACTGTTTCCTGTTTCATTTTCTTTTCTTTTTTAGCTTTTGATTGTTGTTAAAGTAATGGATTTAAGTTAACCAAAATCAAAATGGGACAGAGGCTGCTCAGTACACTGCAGAGAAGGCTAGCGATGTAAAAGAGGCGATCAAAGATAAGGTTGGGTACGGGGCAGAGAAGGCTAAGGAGATGAAGGAGGGCGTAAAAGAGAAGGCGAGCGAGATGAGCGATAAGATTGGAGAGAAGGCGCCAAAGGAATTTGATAAAGAAGAAATAAAGAAAAAAATGAGAGAGGGTGAGGAAAGGGCCAAGGAAGGGTATGAGCGGGCGAGGAGCAAAGCGGAAGAGAGGGGAGAGGAGTTAAAAGAAAATTTATTAGGGGAGCGGCGGGATGATGAGGAGCTGTGAGTTGTGGTATTACCCAGTATATGATTTTACTATGTACGTATTTATGCATGCATGTACGTTTTCGTAGTGTTGTATTTTAATCTCAAAAAAAGTATTTGCTCCCAAGTTTCATTAGACACACACACACACATATATATATGTACATGTACACATTTATTTTCAAGTATAGAGGTGGGGTTTTGAAGAGATTTAAAAGGCTATATATATATATATATATATCCCAATAAGGTTGAGAGACAATTAATGAGTGAGTGACAGAGACTGCTAAATTGGTTGAAGAGGTAGGTACATATATTGTGGAAAAAAATGTTGCATATGTAGTATTATTGATGGGGTCAGGTGAAATTGGATGAAGTTATTATAATGGGGATGATGTTTCCTAAATACTTGAGCGGCGGCGGTGGCGGTGGCGGTGGCGGAGACGGAGGCGGAGGCGGAGAGTTTAATATAAATCCAAACGAGTGGTTGATCTGCTTTTCCAAGTAGGTGGGTTAATAAATAGATTGATGTTCATCGTCCTCTCATCCAATTCCACGTGCTCACCAACTTTGCTCCTTGGATCGCATAATATTAACTTAATCACATTTTAATAAAGTATATATATATTATATATATATATATGGATTAGTGTCCTTAATGAAAGGCAATTTGTAAATTTAATCACAATTATTACTAAAACTCGTACTTTTATCATAATTGGAAGCTTTGATTCGGCCATTACAACAACTATTGGTCTTATTAGAACTATGAATAAAATTTCAATCAATTTGTAAATTTGGTTCACTTTTTTTTTCTTAAATTAATTTTTAAATCGTTACAATTATAAATATACTTCGAAGATTTTTTATTATTTATTATATAGTAAATAAATTAGAGCATCACTTTAAAAAAAAAAAAATGATGGAAGTAGTAGTTTATTTGGGATATCGTACATTATATTTCGTTGTAATTATTTGTTTTTTTAATAGAAATTTATAATTTAATATTCGACTTAATAAATAATAAAAAGATAGTTTGTAATTATTAAAATTAAAAATAAAATATAGTTGGTTTATTTAAATATAAATGGGTATATAAACGGAGAAGTTCTAAATATTTATATCGTAAATTTAATTTTTAGTGAATGAAAAAAAATATATTTCTATGACTATTAAAACCCAAATAGGAAAAAAAAAAATATTAGAGCATCAATTTAGAAGAAAATGATGAAAATAGTAGTGTATTTGAAGTATTGTATATTGTATCTTTATAAAATATAAAAAATATTTGTAATATAAATCTAACTGTAATCGTTTATTTTTTATTAAAAATTTGTAATTTAGTATTTAACGTAATAAATAATAAAAAAATAGTTTGTAATTATTAAAATTAAAAATAAAATAGTTGTTTCGTTTAGATATAGACGGAGAAATCATAAACATTCATATCGTAAAATTGATTTTTAGTGAATGAAAATAAATATATTTATATGAATATTAAAACCTAAATAGGAAAAAGAAAAAAAATAGAGCATCAATTTATAAGAAAATGATAAAAATAGTAGTTTATTTAAAGCATCGTACATTGTATCTCTACGAAACATAAAAAGTATTCGTAGTATAAATCTAACTGTAATCGTTTATTTTTTGTTAAAAACTTGTGATTTAGTATTTAACGTAATAAATAACGAAAAAAATAGTTTGTAATTATTAAAATTAAAAATAAAATAGTTGTTTCGTTTATATATAGACGGAGAAATCATAAACATTCATATCGTAAATTTAATTTTTAGTGAATGAAAAGAAATATATTTATATGAATATTAAAACTCAAATAGGAAAAGAAAAAAATTAGAGCATCAATTTAAAAGAAAATGATGAAAATAGTAGTCTATTTGAAACATTGTAGATTGTATCTCTACGAAACATAAAAAGTATTCATAGTACAAATCTAACTGTAATCGTTCATTTTTTATTAGAAACTTGTGATTTAGTATTTAACGTAATAAATAACAAAAAAAATAGTTCGTAATTATTAAAATTTAAAATAAAATAGTTGCTTCGTTTAGATACAGACGGAGAAATCATAAATATTTATATCGTAAATTTAATTTTTAACTAATAAAACATAAAAGGTATTCATAGTACAAATCTAATTATAATAGTTCATTTTTTATTAGAAACTTGTGACTTACTATTTGACGTAACAAGTAACGAAAAAAAATAGTTTTTATTTATTAAAATTAAAAATAAAATAGTTGTTTCGTTTAGATACGAACGTAGAAGTTATAAATAAATATTTTTAAGGAATGAAAAGAAATATATTCGTATGAAACTTATAGGAAAAGAAAAAAAATTATTAATGAACAATTCTTTGGGAGAAAGTAGACGCAATGGAATTAATTATTAATATTCTCATTTTTCTTCCCTCCCCTCCCCCCCCAAATCTTAATCATTAACATACTCTGAATGTGGAATTATTAATTATTAATTATTAATTAATTTCTTCTCTTAATCATCACCGACCAACTTGTTTATCTTCTTCTATATTAATTTTCCATAAATTTAAGTAAATTACCACTTAATTATTAAATTATAATAGAATATTTATATCCCTTTAAATACATACATACATACATATGTGTGTGTGTATGTATATATGTTTTGTGGGTTTTGGTTGACCTACGAACAACAAAAGAGACCTTTTCAAAGAAAATTAAGGGGTATGTTTATACACATTCTAGTATATTATATGTTTTCACGTGCCGCACGTTCTGGCTGACTTCGTCGCCATCAATAATAATAAATATAATAAAAAAAAATATGCAAGAAAAAGAATTTTCCACGTGGTAAAGTCGTAATTTAATTTTCCCGAATCCAAGTTGAGTATTAAAAATTGGGTGGGACGAAAATCTGCGACGCGGGCCCACGTGCTTAATAATTGCCGTGTATAAAATGCATTTCCGTCTACTCGCCGTAATTTAATTACTATTTATTTTATTTAAATTATGATTATTAATATTTTTTACAAATTTACTCTCTCTCTTTTTTTACGAAACTGTTAATTTGAATATTATTTATATAAATATATATATATATATATATGGTACAAAATTAGACGTTTCTATGTTAACGGCTTCACAAGAAACAGAGGGACCTCATTTATTAATATAATAATTCATTATATTGAGACTCCCTCCCTCCCTCCCTCCCTCCCTCCCTCCCATTCCCAACCACCCACCCACACACACACAAAACCCAGATCTCCATCCACCTCTCAGCTGCTCCCCGTTCCGAGTGTTTGGATGGTCGGACAAAAAGCCATCCAACCAGAAGAAACCAAGGGAATGCGACTGGGAAAGTACGAGCTCGGCAGGACCCTCGGTGAAGGCAATTTCGGCAAGGTTAAATTCGCCAAGGACTTGAATTCCGGTGACTCCTTCGCCGTTAAAATCCTCGAGAAGAACAGAATCATTGATCTCAAGATCACTGATCAGGTTAGTAAATCATCTCCGATTTATTCTCTGCTCAATGCGCTTTCGTCTCTCTTTTTCTTCTTCTTCTTCTTCGTCGTCTTTTCTGCTCTCTTTTCCTTCACGCAAAATACGGCTCCGGATTTTGACGTTTATTCTCTTTCTATCTGCTGTTACAATTTTGAATACGTTAACGAGTTAGCAGATAACTGATAATTTTGGCTATTCCATTTTTGTTTTTCTACGTAATCACATAAATTTCCTGACCTTCTTATAGATTCCTGATTAAAAGTATGAATCATTAGAGTATTTTTCTGTTCCGATTCCGATTGCCAAAACAAAATTAGAGAGGTACTAGTTAACAGGTTCCTTTCTTGGCGTTTCTGTCCGGTGTTATGTTTCCGTGTTGAAATTTTGTGGAGAATATTACGCGACATGTATTATAGCGGTTTCTCTGAAATTTCCATTTTGCTAACAGTAGCAATTTTCTCTGGTGTTATAATTTGCAGATAAAAAGAGAGATCGCCACTTTGAAGCTTCTTAAACATCCTAACGTAGTTAGATTACACGAGGTAATCATTAACACTCTTTCTCTCTTGCTTTAAGTGCATGACAAGCAACGTCTTCTGATTTTTTTTTATCTCTTTATGAACATTACCACAAAACAAATCTCTGATTATTTATCTTCGACTTTTAATCATCTATCTTTGTTACTGAACATGAATTAGGGTTGCTTTTCATTTCGATTTTATTATCTTCAATTTGTAACGGACATAATTTTAAATTTAAAAAATATAGACGCTGATCTCACCGTAAATTGGATGAGAGAGGGATCAAGCATCCATTTTCACCCCTGTGACTCTAGACAGATTCCTTGAACCAGCGGAGATACTTCACTTTTTTTTTTTTCCTCTTTATTTGCAAGATTATCATGATGAGGCCTAATAATGTAATTTCGCTCCCAATCACAAAATTGTTTGGTTGCCAAAGTTTCATTTTCCGCCATTATTATTTTGTTTTTGGATTATACTATGTGGCCTCTATTCAAGCAGGGTAAGACGTATTAATAGGGTGGTTAATGATTTGTGGACAGCTTTATTCATAAGTCTCCTCTAAACCCCCCCCCAAAAAAGAAAAGAACAAGTACCTTTTTCCTTCTGTGATACATTATTGGCTGCTAATAAGCAACCCTCAAAAAAAGTGTCGGCCCTCTAATTTTCTTGCTTGGACATAGCATTTTGTTATGGACAAGGTTTAGTAGCCAACACCACTAGGCCACGTGGCATAACTGTATACAATATATAGAACTCAATCATGTCCAACACTGGCAGCTCTTTTACTCCAGTAGAGATAGTGGGTCCCTAGTTTCCATAAATCTCTTTGTTTTATCTTTTGCGTAGTTGCTATAGATAAGATCTGATACCAGATGACATAAATGTATGTATAAATGCATATTGGTATTTGTAGGGTCCACTCTATGGGGGACCTCAGTTTGTGACGTTGTATCTCATGGTTTCCACCAGCGATGTACACACTCTCTCTTCACTGGCATATGCTTTGTTGCTAAATTGATGCAACACAAGATTTTGTCTTGGTCGTATATCATTTTCAATCCACTTTCAATATGTGGATACATCTAGATTTGGTCCATCCTTCCCAATCATGAACCCTGTTTACTAGCAGGATCATGTGGGTGCAGGAGACATTAAAGGTTAAGTAGCTCATGAGTTTGTCTTGTGGCTTCCATTAAAAGCCACATTTAATCATCGGTCTACTGGATTTGATAAAGATCTCCAAACACTGACTAATAAGAAGGATTAATAGAAGAACTCTTGATTAGTGAGTTTCTTTCTAAAAGAGCTATATTACATGTGCCGATGCAGATTATTTTATGTTGGCTTTGTTGGTGGCAAATTCACAGGTCTTGGCAAGCAAAAATAAGATTTATATGGTCCTAGAATATGTAACCGGAGGGGAACTGTTTGACAGAATTGTAAGTATACTTTTTGGACTTCATTGTTTTTTATATGTTTAATTAATGATAAACATTATTAAGCTTCCTAACCTTTCAGGCCTCCAAGGGAAAGCTTACGGAAGCCCAAGGGAGGAAACTTTTTCAGCAGTTGATTGATGGTGTGAGTTACTGTCATAGCAAAGGTGTTTTCCACAGGGATCTCAAGGTTAGATTTAGCCCTTTTTTTGTTTTCATAAAATTATGACATTATTAACAGAATAAATTGCAATGAGTGGTTCAGCTTGTCTCGAAGTCATTTTAATGCAAGTATTTGATTTTGGACTTGCAGCTAGAGAATATTCTTCTAGACGCAAAGGGAAATATTAAGATATCAGATTTTGGCCTTAGTGCTCTGCCTCAGCATTTTAGAGTATACCTTCCTGACTAAAAATAATTTTTATGAAAGGATTCTTTTTGGTAATTTTTCCAGTTAGTAACTGTTCTATCTTTGACATGTCAGGATGATGGCTTACTGCACACAACTTGTGGAAGTCCCAACTATGTGGCACCTGAGGTCCTTGCTAATAGAGGTTACGATGGCGCCACATCAGATGTATGGTCATGTGGTGTCATCTTATATGTGATTCTCACTGGATACCTACCTTTTGATGACAGGAACCTTGCTGTTCTCTATCAGAAGGTAGTAAATAATTACCTTTATTCTTTATTCTTTTTCTGACAGGATAATCCGCTGATTGATGAATATTTTTATCTCTTCAATCTCATTAACTTTGAGGTTCAACTTTGCTGAGCAATTGCAGATCTTCAAAGGGGATGCTCAAATGCCCAAATGGTTATCACCTGGTGCCCAGAACATGATAAGGAGAATTCTTGATCCAAATCCTCTTTCCAGGATAACAATAGCTGATATCAAAGCTGATGAATGGTTCAAGAAAGATTATGCTCCTGCAAATCCTAATGATGACGAAGAAGATATTCACATTGATGATGAAGCCTTCAGGATACGTGAACTTGTATGAACTTGGAGCTTTGTTCTTCTTGGTCATGTTGGTATATATTTTATTGAAACTGAAATAATTCTTTGTTTCTCTTTGCGAAGCCAACTGAAGAAGTGAGGACCCCTGAATCACCTACTCTCATCAATGCTTTTCAGTTGATTGGAATGTCCTCATGCCTTGACCTTTCTGGTTTCTTTGAGCAAGAGGTGAGGTTGGAAGTAAAGAAGTACAGCCTTCACAAATCTTTTTGTATTAGCAGTTGATAATCTGAATATATGACTTTAGTAGGTAGCTAATTTCAGAATATGGTTGTTCTGTTGTAATGTAGGATGTCTCAGAGAGGAAGATCCGATTCACATCAAATCACTCTGCAAAAGAATTGCTTGAGAAGATTGAGAATATTGTTACAGAGATGGGATTTCAAGTGCAGAAGAAAAATGGAAGGGTTAGGATCATGGATCTTAATAATATGTCAGCATTCATTTGGCAGCGATGCTATAGTTTGATGGTACACTAAATCAATAAAATATTAACACTCGCGATTAACTGAGGTTGTCATATTCATGTATTTCAGTTAAAAGCAACACAAGAACAAGGAGGGAAGAAAAGTTTTGGTAGTTTATCGGTTGCAGCAGAGGTGAAATCATTTTTCAACAAATTTATATGGATTATAAAGCAAGTTTAAGAAGATTTTGAATATTTTGAATATGGTTTTATTAGCTAATCACATTCTTTGTTGTATTATCATCAATCAGGTGTTTGAGATAAGTTCATCACTGTATGTAGTTGAATTAAGAAAATCATATGGTGATTCTTCGGTTTATAGACAGGTATTTTTATCTCTCCACTCGTGTGTGTGTTTCTTTTTTAGATGTATTTCATCTTACATTCAGTTTATTTGATGCTGCAGTTGTGTAAAAAACTATCGAATGATTTAGGTGTTCCTGCAAGCCAAGGGCTCTTGTCAACAGAGGTGTCACCCACCCTGAGTGCTTAATTTAAACAGCATATTGTAATTATTCATAGACGCAGACAAGTTGTAGTCTCTGTAAAATAGAAACATCTTTTTGAGGTGCCATAGTGCTATTATGTATTCAGATGATTATATATTTAGTGGAATATAAGGTTTCCAGTTACGAAAATGGCATATTTAAAATGAAAATAATGTTTGCTTGCATATGGTATTAGTATCTTTAGATTATACCCTTTAACTTGGTCTCATTCCTCTTAAAAAAAAAAAAAAAATTACCTGTAAGTACATATTTGTGCCTTTCATGTTTCTTAAAGATAAAGCAAATGACATGAGTCAACATTTTTATGGCGAAACCCGTTCTCTCTGTTTTTTTTTTTTTTTGGAGGGGTTAGGGGTGTGGATTTTTATTTGTTAATGTAACATTACTCCTAATGTTTACAGCCAGTCAAGAACAGTTCATTGATATCTATTTACAGTCGGTCAAGGCAGTTTACTGATATCTTTACACTTCGTTAGATGGTTTGTCACTTCAAACATTGTCCATCAGAGTGCATACTTCCTCGAAAGCTACTGAATCCTCCTCTTCTTCTTCCTCTTTTTGTTAATCAAAAACTAATGAACTGATGCTGGGGGGTATTTTGGAGAAATTATTCTATAAGTTTGGTAGACCAGTTCAAAAGTGTCAATGGTGTACTGCGGGTAAGGGTTCCCAAAACGTTCCTGCTTTTCTTCTGTATCCTATTGTTTTAGATTTTTTTTTTTAAGGAACAGGATTTTGCTTCAGGACTTGGAAATCTTTAGAAAGAAAAGGCTATTGAAAAAAAAAAAGAAAAAAAAAAGAAATAGTTACAGCAAATATATTCTTCAAATACATAAATACATTGTCAATATCATTCAACATTTTTCTATTTGATTCCGTAGAAGTACATGCATCTTCTACAAGTTGAAGCCTACCTCTTTTGAATCATAATATTACGATGCATCACACAGCAGAAATTTGTAATTATCTACAATCCACACAGCGGACATGGCAATTGAATATATTTTTTGTGACTTGCATCATATTCTTAAATCTTGAGTAACACTTAAACCGAGATGCAAACGAGTCTAATTTGCAAGCCTGTCACCAAGTTCTATTTGATTCCGTAGAAGTACATGTATCTCCTACAAGTTGAAGCCTACCTCTTTTGAATCATAATATTACGATGCATCACACCGCAGAAATTTGTAATTATCTACAATCCACACAGCGGACATGGCAATTGAATGTATTTTTTGTGACTTGCATCATATTCTTAAATCTTGAGTAACAGTTAAACTGAGATGCAAACGAGTCTAATTTGCAAGCCTGTCACCAAGTTCTTTGCTATATACCTGAATCAAGCCGCTGTTGTCTGCCATCTGAAGCTTCTCATTTAATGTTGTCCGGTACTGGTCATCTTTGTCCTCTAAGTTGCGCATAAATTCAACCTAAAGAAATAATGTGTGGTTACAACAAAATAGAACATCAAATAGATCAGCTATTCGTTAGTGTGTGCTATTGAATGAAATATCATTTAAATAAGCTGTATGAGAATGCTAACAAATCCCACGAAGAATCAAAAACATCATCTCCATAGCTAAATGACAATGATGATTTCCTATCCAACATAAAATTATCTACTTCTATCAAGATTTGGTATCAAAGTCAAGGTATCTTACTTCAGGGAGGCACCTTAGTAGTAGTAGATTACAAAAACTGGGTTCTTAAAAGTGCAAACCATCTATCCCCAAGTCCTGATCCTATCTTTCCAAGTTTTCACTAAAAGTATTGCTAAACCAGCCATGTTAGTTTTTTTTTTTTTTTTAAAAATTCTTTTAGTGAATGATAGGAGAAAAAAGCACCAGCCGAACACCATCAAAATCTGTTGAGAACAATTATCACTCAGTGGTATTCAAATTATGACTGATCAGAGAAATAGGATGCATATGGATTATCAATGTG